GATTTATTAAGCCTATTCTGAGCCTTCTCGTCAGGGATAAATTGGCTCCTGCCTCATGCAATGCCCTTGATGGATAATCATCTCATTTTTCTTGATTATTCTATCTATATRGCTGTTGTTTAAAATCAAAATGAATTTCACAAACATAATGCCTTAGCTGCTCTTGCCTCATTTATCTTAGGTTATGCAATGAAGTACAAAATTGGTCAGCGATAACGACACTTCAGATTTCCAAATTAAGTGACATCTGACAGAAGCTGTGGAGCTCTTCGACTTTTGGACYCCTGTGGGATTGATAGTCTGATAGTCCCAAATCTGATTTTAGTCTTATTAGGCTCAGTCCTGGATTTTACCACTAATTTAGAAATGGTGTTTGCCTATCCAAGCCAAACTAGGAGCTGGTATTACTGGAGTGAAGCCTAATAGACTAAAACTTTTTTCCTCCAAACTAAGCATGGATGGTTTCTGGATACAAAGTATCTCAATTGTAAACTAACATTTATTCACAACATTTCAGATTTAACTTTTACATTTAGTTTTAGGATTTAACTTTTAGACATAACATTTAACGTTTCAACTTTACATTTAGTAAAAATTAGAAAATTGTAAGAAAAGTGAGCAAAATGCCAATAAAATGTTAGTGTACATTGCTTTAACTGTGGTTTTACACTCAGAAAGTGAGCTAAATAATGAAACTTTTTATTTTACATTTGGCACCCCGTACTGCTTTGCACATGTAGACTACACCACCATTGYTTTTTGATTTCCTTTAACTTTAAGATGTGCTTAAGTCTGTTATATTGCTGCTTATTACAATCTACCATTACTTTGTAATAAATCCACATTTTTTCAGTAAAATACTGTATATCGTAATCTGTACTGACAGACAAATTCTATGAGTCCAATATTCCACTTTTATGCCTGACACAGTCATTGTTAATAACATTAACCTTGATTTTACAAAACATAAACCTCCCACTGAACTTTTTCAAGATGCAACAATGACCTCACTGAATATAAGAATAAAAATAAAACTTAATTTTGCTCCTTTGTGAAAAGCAGACGATCAAAAACAATAACGTGTTTATTAAAAACTGACGAAACTGACACGAGTTTACTTGATTTGCAAAAAGTCACAACTCAATATCTTTCAATTTAGGGCACATAAATAACATATTTCATTCTTCTTCTTTTTTCTGTCTGTTCCAGTAGGCTGCTTTGTCCTTTCATATATTTGTGTTTTTTCAACCCGGGTATATTCTTATTAATAATAGGCAATTTTGTTTTGACAGCTATTTCTATGTAAAGTGTGGTGGGGAGGGGGGTGCCTTGTCATTGCTTCTGTACTTTGCTGTTTGCTGAAACAGCCGTTTTTTCCCCCCACTTCTCACAACAGTCCAAACATCGTCTCAGTGAATTAAATGTTAGAGCAATACATTCTCACTGAGGTAAAGTCGGGAAATAAAAAACCAAGAGTTACGGTATAGAATACTTTGGCAGCTGACTCAGTTTCAGTCGACCGTATTTCCTCCCGCTTCAWCTCAGCTCTACATGTTTAGTAGATTTTCACTCGGTATGTACGAGTAAACAAAACAAAAAAAAAAATCAACACTGTCACTGTTAATCAGTTTGGGGTTTTTTTTYCCCAGATATTTATGATGACACAACACTGACAGTCTAACTTGCACTGCATAATGTTTAGCATGCATTACATTCAGTGGCTGAGAGCTTTTACCCCCTGATGCAAAAAAAAAAAAAAAAATGCATCAAATTGGGGAATAATTTRGCCCTGCAGAGCTGTAGCTAGTCTGTCAGTAGGTCTGAGTCAATCAGCCTCTGAGTGAAGAGTTAGACAGCTGACAGAGTGGATGGAGACAAAAAGTAAGAAAGTAGCTCCATAAAGATTAGTTTTGAAACTCTCARACTTRAACASGCAGGCTGGGTGTGGTGATATCTTCATTTTTTGGAACATACTGGACACAGAAAACATCTCCAGCGTGGTTATAATCCAGGTTTTTGTGTASTGTACAGTGTGCACATTTAGATGAGAACATTTAATGCATTATGCATTCATGCATAATGAGACACAGTTGTCTCATTTGCAAGAGAGACCTGTTGTGTTACATGAGCGTTACATACATAAATCAGAATATTGTTAAAAACTGATGAATTAACAGAATAAAGCTCAATGAATGATTGGCACAATAATAGACATTTCAGTCGTTATATACATTTCAGAATGTTTACAGATTGTATGATTACTGACGTGGAGTGGTYAAAGGAGTTGTTTTGTAACTGGAGGGTTACTTGTTCAATCTCCCGTTCCAGCCGTCTCAGTCATTGTGTCCTTGGGTAAGACACTTCACCTGCCTTGCCTACCTCTAGTAGTCAGAGGGTCCGGTAGTGCCGGTGCATGGCAGCTCCACCTCTGTCGACTTTCTTTACAATTAATTTCTAAATTAATTTATTGAATTACCATTTGGAGTTTGTAACTAAAAACCTTCGTTATTCAGCTCGTTTTTATGTCCATTGGTTTAAAAGCACTTCAAATACAGTACATACACGTAAGGTGTACAAACTGTCTGTAAATTACACAGATCCCCCCCCCCATTTTGCACGTTTACAGGTGTATAGAGAAAATCTCGTATTTTTTCAAAACCTCAGCATCAAATTTCTCTATTTATTGTCTCAGAGCTTGTGAGGAAATGTAAAGTTCGCTCCTTCCACTAGACCAGGACTATTCAACTGGTGGCCTTTTCAGTCCAGCCCACAATTATGTTCTTTAAAAAAARACAAAATCAGGGCTTGTCTTTGTTGTCACAGAGATTAGCTCCTGCTCCCGCGAGCAGTCCTCCAAACCTCGAGCAGCTGGGAACCCAGGATGGCTTTGTGACGGTCTGTTGTAAGTGTCGTTCTAAGGCTAAAATCCCAGTTCACAGCTGACCTGTTCAAGCTTTAAACCAATTCCCATCACTTAGCGACACACCTGCTGAGAAACAGACTCTGGTAATTGGCAGCTCCACAGCCTGAAATGTGGCACTAGGGCTCCAGAGACCATAGTCAATTGCATATCAGGGGCCAGAACCGATGACACCAAATCTTACTACAAACCACTGACTAAGGCTAATGCTAAATGCAGTAAG